TTTCCCTGAGGTGATTCGTTTTCTATTTCCTTAAAATCTTATTAGACATTTGATTTTTTTCCCTAAATTTCCAGAAATCCTCACATTTCTACAAGGTATGCGTCTTTTATTTATTTCATTCTAGTAGGCTAGCGGCAAGAAGTTGCACTGCAATTCCAAAGGCACGTGGTTTGAGGCCACCAGCTGCTCATGGAAGGAAGAGCAATCTTCTTCCATGTGATTAACTGCCTCTGAAAGCCCCCTAGAGGATCAGCTATGGGTCAGTTTTGGCTCTGTGGTACACAACAGTAACAACTCTGGTGGCCTAGTGGCAAGAAGCTGCATCCCAAAGGCATGCAGTTCAAGTCCACCAGTTGTTCTGGGAGAAGGATGGATAATCTCAGCCTGTGCGATTAACTGCCTCTGAAAACCAACCAGAGGGTCAGCTATGGGTTGGTTCCCACTCAACAGTACATTCATGTCCTTCATTTAGCCACTATTGCTCTCTTGTGCTACATAGGGAATATAGCATATCCCCTATTGAAATGGGAGTCAGGAGACTGGAATACCAGCCCCACTTCTGCTCCTAACAATGTCCAAGAGGCAGGTCCAATTTTATCAGTTTTCTAGGTCTGCTTTCTCATCTTTACAATTAAAGACCAGAACTAGAGGATCTCCCAGTGCCTTCCTCCCTAGCATTCCAATTAACTAACTCTATTTCTGCTAAGGCAGAGGAAGAAAAAAATATATGTCATGTCCTAGGGAACAGCCAAAGACTGAAAAGTGAAGAGCAATGATATGATCAGCATATTCTCTACCATTTGCTGGCCCCAACTTCTGATCAATCATCTTCTTTGACTCTTTCTTTTCAGACTTGGGTGACTTTTACAGTAGTATTCCTTTCAACATAGTTTACATTGTTTATCCTTGAAGAAAACTTGCCCTTTGAACAGTGCTTCCATAGATCATGATCTTTCCTTGGAAACATACTAAACTTTTTATTATGTTGCTGCTGGTTTTGAGTAAACGAGTTCAATCTTGTAGCCAAGCCCCAATATAAACAAAAACGTATTTTAATCAAGAATTTTCTGGTGTGCTTATCCCCATTATAGCACTGGCTTAAAAAAAAAGGGGGGGGTAGAATCCACAAAGGAGCCAAACATCAGCCCTGGGAAGAGAATTTCCAGCCACATAAGCTCAGATCACCGAGGTAGACTAGAAGCAAGGCTCTCATTGTGCAGACCATCATCATCATCCTGTGAGCTTCTGATATTTTAATTTCACCACTTCAAAATGGGAAAAAGAAATTGGTTAATAGTTTCCATGCATTTCAACTGTGACCAGATACATACTAAGTGGTTTGAAAACCTCAGGCAACCACAGCTTTGGAGAGAGAATAGTGATAGATTTTGCCAGTGCATCTTGGAATGGATGGCAGAGTTCAGGGAGTTGAGGCCATTATCATGCGGCCAAGGTCGGATGTAAATAGTACTTTTTTCATTCATTCTTTTTTTGCACACACATCATTATGCGAGGCCGTATACTGGGTGCTGGATGGGATAGACAGATATTCTTAATGCATAGCCCTCACTCTTAAAGAAACGGTAGTCTAATAGAGTAGATAGACAACTATGCAAAACATTTTAATAAAATCCATACAGTTAAGTGCTTTAAGTAAATAAAGGGCTCAGGAAAGATAAAGTAGCTTTTCATTCCAACTAAAACATCAAAGGAGGAGCTCTGGGGGGCATAATCTACAGAATGTTATTCTGCCAGCCAAAAGGCAACATGTCTCTGGCAGTTTGAATCCATAAATAGCTTCTCAGGAGAAAGATGCACAGTCTCATCTTATTAAGAGTTACAGCCTAAGAAACATAAAGGAGGGTCACTATGAGTCAGTCTTAATTCACTGAGAGGGAGAGAGGCGGAGAGAAGGGGAGAAAAGGGGAGAGGGAGAGAGAGAGAGAGAGAGAAAGAAAGAAGAAGAGAGAGACAGAGACAGAGAGGGATGAAGAAAGGTAGGGAGAGAGATATCAGTGTATGAGGGAAAACTTTACTAGAGAGATATTATTTAACCTGAACCTTAAAAGATCAGAAGAGCAAATAGGTAATCATTCTAGGCATTAGCCATGACACAGGAGCTTTGAAGTGTCTCATTGGTTGTAACAAGAGTGAGATGTTAGGAGAAGCTGCATCTGGAAGTGGAGGTGGAAAGCATAAAGAATTAACGCTTTTCAAAGTCATGATTGTTTTTGTTCACAGGAAAGCTACTTTGTCATATCGGTATTTTAGAAAGGAAATTAAAACTTATTTTTAGGGTGAGAGAACTATTCCAGAAGGAGAGATAGATAACAGGGGCCTTGGCTGTAGTTCCGAGATCAGCATACAATTTGTCTACTCACAAATGCTTCCTGTCTCTTAACCATTGAAAGTTCTGGTGGTAAGGGAGTAATTATGCTCCTTAATGTCCATGCCCTCTCCCAAGCCTGTTGTTGTTGTTATGTGCCGGCGAGTTGCTTGCGACTCATAGCAACCCTATGTACAACCAGCCCTAAACTCTGCTCTGTCCTGTGCCAATCGCACCGTCTCTGATACACCCATGTCACTGAATCAATCCACCTCAAAGGGGGCCTTCCTCTTCTGTGCTGTCCCTCCACCCTACCAAGCATGATGTTCCTCTCCAAGGACCTGTCCCTCCTTGCAACATGTCCAAAGTATGTCAGACAGAGCCTTAGAATCCTTGCCTCCAGTAGCCCTAAACTCTGCTCTGTCCTGTGCCAATCACACTGTCTCCAATACACCAATCCTGATTACCTCAGTCACTGAATCAATCCACCTCATAGAGGACCTTCCCCTTCTGCACCGTTGCTCCACCCTCCCAAGCATGATGTCCTTCTCCAAGGACCGGTCCCTCCTTACAACATGTCCAAA